GTCGGTTATCTTAAACCCTGGCAATTACAAAAATCATGTAATAAAAATAAATTTAAGGTATTTCGTAAAGCCTTTTTAAATGATAGAGCCTACTTAATAGCTTAAGAATGTTTGCATATGGATGTAGCTTAAATAAGTTACTGTACACTAGATTTACAAGGGGATTTTAACGATAAAAACAGTGAAATATCAAGTGAAAATCAAATTTTAACGCTTGTATACGAAATATAATGTAGTTAAATAGATTAAACATCTCTGTTTATACAATGTATCTTTTATTTGATGCCAGTTAATTTGTTGAGTCAATATTGAACATTAGTAATTTTTCCAAAGCATAGACTTGGAAATTACATTTAAAAGCTAAATTTTTGTTTCCATTTCAATTATGTATCTAACTAGCGTGTACCGGCGACTTCGTTCGCGTCGAATTAATCATTTGTAATGGTCATGATAAAGCAAAGCAAGAATTTCCATTAACATACAAACTGGATAAAATTTTCTCACATTTATGTCAGCATGAGAAAAAACAATATGGCGATATTATTATATAACTTTGTAATATTTGAGGGGTAGTTTCATCTCTTTGGAATTTGACTTTCGAAAAATCCGTTAGCCAAAAATAAGCTTTTTACGTCAAGCAGTTTAAGCAGAATCGTGGTTAAGAAATTACCCAACTTTTTGGAACACCTATATGAATTTTTAAAAAAATTCAAAATATGTAAAAAAACCAAATAAATTATGCTTGTCCAAGCGTTTTCCCGAAAGACTAACCGTTTTTTAAATAACAAATATTGTAATATTTGAGGGGCGTTTTCACCCTCTTGGAATTTGAGATTCGAGAAACCCCTCCTTATCGAACCACTGCATCCCACAGTCAATCCGTTTGTCAAAAATCACTTTTTAACAGTTCGTGATTACTCAATGGTCATATGTTATGAAACACCCTGTATAAATTTATAAAAAATCTTAAAATATGTAAAACAACAAAATAAAATATACGTGTTTAAGAGTTTTTCCGGAAAACTCACCGGTTTTTAAATAAAAAATATTTTAATATTTGAGGGATAGAGAGAGATTTCACTCCCTTAGAATTCGAGTTTCGAAAAATCCCTTCTTATCAACTTCTACACCCTAAAGTCAATCTGTTTTCCAAAAATCGGCTTTTTACGTCAAGAGCTTTAAGCAGGATAGTGATTAATCAATGATTAGATTTTTCGAAACACCCTGTATACATTTTTAAAAAATCTTAAAATATGTAAAAAAACAAAATAAAATATACGTGTTTAAGCGTTTTTTTCGGAAACTTGACCGTTTTTTAAATAAAAAATATTGTAATATTTGAGGGGTGGTTTCACCCTCTTGGAACTAGAATTTCGAAAAATCCCTTCTTATCGAACCTCTACACCCTAGAATCAACCTGTATGCGAAAATTGAGCTTCTTACGTTGAGTAGTTTGAGCAGGATCGTGATTAATCAGTATGTCAGTCACTTAAGGATTTTATACTATTAGTATAGATTACATATTATCAATATTTTCTTTGTTAATATTAAATACGATAATATGATCAAAAAGTTTCATGATCAAGTATGTCTCATATGATCACAAACAGAGCTGCAAGCTCACAGAAAACCCAAGTCTTTCTTTTTATTTAAATCATTTTAATGACTTAAGTCATTTTTCGAAAGCCGAGTTAAGACTTAAAATTTAAGCCATTTTCAACATGATTTGTGATTTAAATCTTTATTCCGAAACAGAAAAGACTCGGAAAAAGATTTGTCTTTTTAGGAAAGACTGGAGTCATTAAAAAGACTTAAGTCATCAAAAATAATTAAGTTTTGCAAAAATTTTCAACAGCAGCATTTCTTTTTCACACACCTAGTCTTCTTAGTTCTTGAAATAATACAAGACGAATATTAGAATGTTGCTTTTTTCCTTAATCTAAGCTTTTTTCGACCATCTTCGTATCTTGATTTTAGTTGCGCCACTGAATTTTATTTGTAAATCTCTATGGAGATCGATTTTCATCTTTTCGATAAATTATGTCCGAGATATAAGGGGAGTCGAAAAATGCAACAATTTCAATTTCGCCCTGTATTTATTCTGTTGTAGGATAAATATGTGTGTAATTTTTAGTTTCATAAAAAAGTACTTAGCAATGTGAAAACCGCATACTTATTTGTACTTCTGCTTATAAACGAGAAACCCTGTAAAACACGTGAAAATGGGTCATCCTGTATAAAGTACCACAAAATTTAAATTAATATAAGTTGTGTTCTTTGTGCTTTTATGTTTATTTTTTTTATTGTTGATTATATTAGTTATTCTGAAAATAAATCGTTTGTTTTAAGTGGTTTCATTCTCATCTGTTCCTATAATAAATTAATAACATGATACAGTAAGAAAATCGATAATTAACAACATTTAAAATGGTAGGTATTTAAATTAAATCCTGGTTATCTTGACTTCTGGGTAATTATATTGATTTAAGTCATTTTACTGACTTAACTTGCAGATCATTATTTTTTAAGTCAAAAATATTAACTTAAGTCATAAAAATGACTTAAATAACGTTAGGATTGATTTAAGTCTTTTCAAAAACTCATTTGAACTTTATGTTGAATTTGACTTAAGATTTAAATCATTTTGATTTTAGGAATGCTTTAAGTCAGGAAACCTAAGACTTTAGCCTTTTAAAACTGACTTTTTGTAGCTCTGATCACAGATAATCAGTTTATATGGGAACTTTCGTTAGAATCTTCTAACTGTCAAAGTCAAACCCTAAATAGAAGAAAAATAATGATAAAATACCTACAGTATGATCGAAAAAAAAAGTTGGCTTAGAAACGAACATCGATGACATTTCCCATATACCTAGTTTCACGTATAAAATTACAGCGATCTTCATTTCATAGCTATCGCTGATGCCGGTTTTTTTTTCCATCATACTGTATGTTATTGTATTTTTGAATTTCATTCTGAATAGCTTGAAAGTATCTGTCTAAATCTCTACCTAAATACCTAAAAACTGCGGTAGCCTGTTTGCTTCCTACGGAAGATTCAACAAATCCTCATTGATTTGTCAGTTAGGTACCGTATGATCGAGAAAAAAACGGCGTCAGCGATGGCTATGAAATGAAGATCGCTGTCATTTTATATGTAAATTTACATGGGAAATGGCATCGATCGTCATTTCCCAGCCAACTGGACGCCGTTTTTTTCCGATCATACGGCACTTTACGACTGTACCTACCTACATTTTGATAAGTTAAAATATCCAATACTAAGTGCAATTAGGTACGCTTACTTAGACCCTTATAATAAATTATAACAATAGAAAAACCACAATCCCTAGTTTTGTGGTATACCTACCTATTTTAGTTTAACAAAGAAGTCTACCACCACCAAGAATTATTTAGGATTTTTATTTTCTCTAAGAAGTATGACCAAACCGGTCTTTGACTTTGAGAATTAATCAATTCTATAATGTTATATCCCTAAAGAATTGTTTTTCTATCGTCTTCCAAAGCACGGTTGATCAGTAAACTTGTAATAAAAGCATATAAATTCATATTCTAATAAGAAACTTAATTTCAATTGATAGTATAGGGTAGCTCCTATTTAATTCATTTAACATAATTGATTTATTACGTGAGCGTAATAGTTTCCATCGGACACGACAATTGGAAGGATGTTATCAATAACCCCCCGTAAAACAATGAAATCCCCTACTAGGACCACTAACATCCCATAAAACCGACTTATCGCTTCTTTTATAAACCGCAAATCAATACGAAAACTGCGTTTAAGCGTTCTTAAACAAACATTGGCCCCCGATTAGTATCTTATTTTTTCTATTGTCATGTTAAAAGTAGGTACCTTGATTTGTATTCAATGAAAATATTAAGCAAATACCCATAAAACTTAAGCACCTAACCATTACACAAATTGAATTAAACATATTGTTTTCATAATGCAAGTAATTAAAAAACTACAGAATACACATAGAAATTATGTACCTAAGTTCATAATACAGTAAGTTTTTTCTATAATGAACACAAAGATCAATTATCACAACTAATAAAAGAACTAACAAAAAAACCTATGACATGCACGTTATTGCCCTATAAACATTCATTCGTCCGTAACAAAAGAAATTATATTATGCTTTAATTAAATGGAAACAGTTCTTAGCATATAAATGAAGAAAAAAACGACAGGGTAATGAAACGGTGATTAGGGTCATAAACAATTTGACAAATTAGCTAGCGCCCCCACCACGCAGAAATATACACAGATTAATTAAACATGTCAATCAAAGTAATTATCACTTCGTAGATGGTTAAATATTATTACAAGGATGTATTTTTACCAAAGCAAATAACGAAAAAAATTCTTTAACAAAGGCCTGAAAAGGCAAACGCCTTATGTTTTCTAGCTATAATTGAAAACTTACCTTCACTAAAACAATTGCTACATAATAAAAACACTTAGCGGTACAGTTCTAGTCTCTCAGCACTAACAAACAATATGATACAGGAAACACGATAGCACACAAACTACATTAAATTTTTCAGCATTTTTGAGATTATATTGGCCGAAATTTAAGCAGAGTATTATTGAAAACACACCACTCGATTATCGATCCTTGGCGGCCATTTTACACGAGTAGAGCGACTCGTCTTGGCCATTCAGAAACGATCATTTGACTGATATTAGCGACCTCTAGTGATACATGTTTTTACTTCTTTTCTGAAGCACAACTTGGCACAACAGGAGAGAAAAAAAATAAATGTTTATACTTTTTCACAGCTTTTTCATTTCATTCATTGATTTATTTAAATTATTATTATTAACTGGTGTCTGTCAACAAAAAAAAACAAGTAAAAATAATATACATTTTATGTAAAAATCTTTAGTCTAAATGTTTCAGAAATCTTGCTTAACAACTTAAAACCTGACAACGTCGCTTTTTCATTATCATATGTTGACTTTAATTTTGACAGGTAAATTAATAAAATAAAACATTGAAGAAGGAAATAAATAGCTGTAAAAGTCGTGTAAATAATTTTATAAAAAGCTAATGAATAGTAACTGGTATTGATAGATTAATTATATCCAACAATGGCAAATAAAATGGAGGAATTGAAACATAAATTTCTGGGTTTAATAAACAAACAGGTAAGATATTAATTCTAATTTTTAGACTTCTCCTTAAAAATATAAATTCTAGCCACCCAGAATACCATCAATGGGGTTTGATGACACAAATTATCATTTTTCAAAAATGCCAACATTATCAATTAACAGTAAAACAGCACAGGATTCAGATAGACCTGCAGATCAGGATATTTTGGAGAGTATCGAAGCTGCTTATTTTTCAATGTCTGAGGATTTTGATATTTGTAGATTCGAGCTATCGGTATGACATTATTATTGAGTTATTTTTCGTTAAACTTTATTTTGTAGAAACTACCTGAAACCCTTGATTGTGATGAAATACAAAGAGATTTCAAAAATCTAAAACAGCAACATTCCGTGGTTTCAAAGAAAGTTTTGCAATTAATTTTAGAGCATCAAAACTCATGTAATGATGAATTTAATACTATACAGGAAATTTTAGAACAAGTAAAAGAAACTTTAGAAAAATGTAGAGAAAGCAGGAAACAATTAAATATATGTGGAAAACAGTTTTCAGCTAGTTTAGGTATTTTAGCTAATTATAGAAAAAGAAAAATAGCACAGGTTTTGTTGGGTAATTTGCATATGATTAAAAATTTGGTAAGATTTTATTTAAGTTTATTGGTTAATAATGAAATTAAATGTTCTGTTTTATAGCACAGTTTTGATAAAAGGTGCCAGCAATTGCTAAATGATGAAGATTATGCTGGAGCAATAACCGAACTTAAAAGATGTCAAAACATTGCCATTAAATACAGGCATTTTAGTTGTGTTGCAGCATTAACATATAGATTACAAGAGACTTTAGAAAATACAGATACTCAGCTTGACAGAATCTTAGCTCAAGTTCTAATTTCCAGCATTATTGCTATTGCTCTTTTTTTACATCGTTTGTTTTCAGATGTGCTACCATTTTGACAATGATAGATATACTAAACTGCAAGAAGCTTATAATTTGTTAGAAAAATCTCAACTATCAATGATTGACAATATTCATGTGCATTATATAACTGCCATATACAATTCATCACTTAATATTGTGAGTTCTTATGCTACATCAGATGCTTTAGATTTAGCTGAAAATACTGGAAAGCATCAATATACAGCAATGTGCCAGGTATGCTTATATACTAGTAAACAGTTATTGTATACTAAGATTGTATATAATTTCAATTATTTTAGTCTGTACATCAAGAAAATTTTATACCATGTTTGATTCAGTTGTGTAAAATACTTTTTAAAATTGTATTGAGTTATCATCAACTTATTAAATGGTACTGTAATAAACAAAATGATGAAGAAAATGAAGATGGATTAAGTGAGCAATTTAATTTTTTTATTGATAAATGATTACAGTTAATGTTAAACATATTTTGTAGACACTGAACTGAGTATGTGTAATCAAAAATTAGATTATAATGTAATAAAAGTATGGGACGATGTGCAAAGAAAAGTGTCTAATTTATTGCTTAATGCAGATTTAGCCAATTATAAGTTTGATCAGTTTCTGCAGGTTTTAAAAGTGGTTCATCGGTTAGCCTTATAACATGATGAATTTTTTAAAAAATATAAAAATATATATTTTAGTTTAATACAAGTAGGTGATGAATTTTGTTCAAGTAAATCTGAGGATTTGCAAGAATCAATACGAAAACAAAGTATTAATTACTTCAAAAAATATCATTTACAAAGATTAGATGAATTAAAAATTTTTCTAGAAAATGAAATTTGGGAATTATGTCCTGTCAAATCATCTTTTAGTATACTGCAACTTCAGGTAAATTATAATAATGCAATTTTTGTGTTTATAAAATATGATTTGTTATTAATATAACATTATTTTAGGAGTTTAAATCAGTAAGGTCAATTCTAAAAAATTATAAGAACAGCATACAAATGAGCCCCACAATAGCAGTTTATTCGACAACATCAACTGAATGTTCTTCTTCGCATTCACAGGATGATAGTAGTATAATTGGTACTTAGATGATTTACATGGAATTGTAAAAGTTAGAAAAAATACATTACATTATTTCAGGTAATTATTTCATTCGTTATGCCGATCGTGGTACTCCATTTGAAACTGGATTAGATGAAACTATAATAGATGAGGATATTTTAGCTGTTGAGAATGAAAAATCTCACTATATATCAGATGAAAGTGATGAGGAACCAGAAGAATTAAAAAAAGATTTTGTTGATGAGGATAATTCAAAGTAAGTTAAATAGTCGAAAACATATAATAAAAACGAATATAAAGATATAAAGCAGTAACTTATTTTTAGGCAAAGCAATGTAAATAAAAAACATGATAAACATTACCAGAATTCCCCAGTTTTAACAAATACCACACTTTCTGTTATAAGACAAATGGGCAAATATATCCAAATGTCAAGACTACTAAAAACTATAGCATATCAGATTATAACATCTATGAATCAACTGTTTGATTTTTATCTCTATTCAGTTCATTTATTTTTTGCCTCAGACCTAGTAAGAGTTTCAAATTTTAATTAGATATAATTCAAATAACAGATATTTTAGACAGTATCAGGTCACAGCCTTTACACTGAGGAATTATCGTTAACAATAAGGAAGATTAAAGACAACTTGATCTTGGAAATGCCCAATCAAAATTTGGAAATAAATTTACCCGAAGATAAAATTATGGAGCCCCACTTATCATTAATGGTCGACTTAAAACAATCAGAAACTCTTTATGGCCTAGCTGAAAGAATAATAGCTGTGGAAAGTCTAATATTTTTATCAAGACAGTATGAATTTTTACAAGATTATTTGGAATATTTAGTACCACAAACTAATAAAATAATGTTACAACAGTTTTTTGCTCAAGTAAGTATGTACCTAATGAAGTTTATAGGGATTATTAAAAGTTATCAAGTCAAACACCAGGAAAATATTTCATTTTTTATAAAATTATACCTATATAAGTACAAGATATCTGCACATTTAACTATTTAGTTTCACTGCTGATAAAATAAAACCACCAGTGTTCATCATCATTTCAGGATGAGTTCTTTCTGGCAACACTTGATAATTTCTTAAAAAATTATTACTCAACTTTATTGCTATAATATCTAGTCGACCTTTAAGATATATAAATAAGTCTTGTAAAGGTTCCTTAGTTACACTAAACACCACCATTTGACGTCCTCCTTGTAGAAATTGCAACAGCTCCTTTACAATATTGACAGGATGTTCCTTTGCAGTTACTATTAGAGAATCACATTTATTATTCAATATCTTACACGCACTTTCATTGTCTAACTTCCACTGAGGTTCTTTTGGAGTCAATTGTGTAGGTTCGCCATCTAATTTTGCCTTCTTAGGTTCAGGTTCACCCTCACTTTTGTCTTCAGTATCATTGCAAATATTATCAACAAAGCTGTTTTTGTTTTGGTAAAAACATCTTAATACAGAATACAAGTTTACATTAATGCACCTGTGGGTCTGTTCTTCAGGAAACTGCATGGCTAAAAAGGCATTTTTTTGACACTCATTTCCTGGATGCATGTGAATGAGTGTGCCACTTGTATTGGCTCCTATAGCATTCATAACTGCAGCTGACATAAGACCTGAACTCCCACTATCGTACAATAAATGGTTACCATCTGAATGTATGTTTGCGTAGGTGAGAATTTGAGATAAGTCGTCTATTCGAATGCCCAATGTTTTTGTAGGGTCTTGTCTGTAAAACATATTTGTCAGAAGTCTAATTGTAGGCTTTCGAATTTGTAAATATTCAAAGTATTTCTTTTCCTTTTTCTTAATATATTTTTCTTGTGAATATTCCGTTTTCATATTAAATGTTTTTGAGTTATTTATTAGCTTTTCCACAATAGCATTGGAATTTAATTCTGAATTCTGTAACTCATCGATATCATCTTTAGTTAAAGTTTGAGCGCTTTCATCACTCACAATATTTCTATTGTCCATTCCACTTGTTTCAATATTTACAGCGTTCCCGACGTTTTTACCGTCTTCCACCTTTTCCAATATGTACAATTTATTATTTTGAGAATAGTTTTTCATTTGGAAAGTATCAAAATATTTTTGACCAATTATGTTATCCATCTGTACCGTAAATTTTCCGATAACCATATTTCCATGCTTCTTTAATTTATGCAGTTTGGTATAACCCTGCCTTTGCACTATAATTTGATCACCAACTTGTATTTCTTGTGATTGCTCCATAATTTTAAATTTAATTTAATTCATAACAATAACAAACGTGTTTTTAAAGTAAGGTTAAGAATACAAATTTTGACACATATATACTGTGTTGCCAGATTTTAAAATTGAATTTCTTATTTTAATTTTTTCTTGACAAAATTATGGCGGTCGATTTGGTTATAAATTAATATACTAATATTATAAATTATTTTGTCATATTAATATTTTTTAACTTTTAAAACTTGTAATATTTGTAATAATACCTTATGATCGAATAAAAACGGCCTCAGCGATGGCTATGAAATGAAGATCGCTGTCATTTTATATGTAAATTTATATGGGAAATGTCATCGATTTGTCATTTCATAGCCATCGCTGACGCCGTTTTTATTCGATCATACGGTAGTTTGTATGGATAAATATATTTCTACATTATGTCCCTAATATGCGCAGGTGCTTGTACTAATATAAACCAGGGTAAAATATTTTAAATTCTTTTTAGAATATAACTAGTGCTATACATTTAAGACGTCCAGTATACATGGCAGTAGTCGCACAAATATTTGATTTGCGTCAAATTCTGGTATCGATGTCTAAAATTAATTGGGAAGTTAAAGATGTAATGTCACAACATAATTCCTATATTGATATGATTCTAAGAGTAAGTAATAAACAACATGGATGTGAATATTTAATATTTAACTTGCGATATATTCGAGTATGCTATGTCATATCCTTGTGTCAATGCTTGTGTCAAATATGTAATACCCTATGATCGAATTAAAACGGCGCGCGGCGTCAGCGATGGCTTTGAAATAAAGATCGCTGTCATTTTATATGGAAAATTAGATGGGGAATGTCATCGATCGTCATTTCATACCCATCGCTGACGCCGTTTTTATTCGATCATACGGAATATGTATGTATTACATGTAAAATAAAAAAAAATAAATCTAGAGATCATATACATATTTTTATCTTATACAGTATTTTACCATATCTATGGAAATAGAATTATTTCCACTTTCGTTGACACTCTGTCTATAGCTGTTATTTCTTATGCACTATGGATTTAAAATTTTTAGGAAGTGCAGATATTCAGGGTAAGACTGGATGAAGTAGTACATAGAGTGCCTATTTCTAATGAGGTTTTAAAAGTTTTATGGGAGAATATTGCCCACATTGTTACTCATACCTTAGTGCAAGGGTAAGTTTAACAAAAGGGAATTTATTAATAAGCCTTATTATACTACTTCTTTTTTCTTTCTACTTACTACTTCTTTCTCCACTTCTCTTTTAGATTTTCTGAGGCTAAGAAATGTACAAATGGGGGCAGAGCATTAATGCAACTTGATTTTACACAATTCTTAACAAAGTTTGAAAAAATATCCTCTTTAAGACCTGTGCCTCATAAAGAATATGTAGAAAATTATGTAAAAGCTTATTATCTGCCTGATAGTGAATTAGAGATATGGGTCAGGGAACACAAGGTAATTTTTTATTTTTATACCATAAAATGCGGCAGAGATGAAGATTACTGTTTATGTAAAATTATATGCTAAGCCAACTCGACGCCATTTTTTCTGTACATCACTATATAAGGTCACAGATTTACTTAACGGTACAGAAGCGATAGAAACAATTTTTTCCAGACCAAATTTTAAGTGAGTTTTTATGTAATTTTTTCAGCACAGATTAAAAGACGACAGTTGTCAAATTTTGATTAGCTGATGTAATACCAATCAGCTAATCAAAATTTGACAACTGTCGTCTTTTAATCTGTGCTGAAAAAATTACATAAAAACTCACTTAAAATTTGGTCTGGAAAAAATTGTTTCTATCGCTTCTGCTTCTGTACGGTTATATCGTGTAAAAAAAACGTTATGCGGGGACGATCGTGTAAAAAAAACGTTATGTAAAAAACTAGTTTTCTACGTGTAAAAATATTTTTGTTTAAAAAACAATAGTATATTGTTTAGGAGTAAAAATGACCCTTTTTGTGGCAAGGCCGACATACAACCGAGGCACAAAAAGTCATTTTTACTCCGAATAGAACATGTTATTTTTTTCAAACGCCACAAATAAGTTTTTAAACAATAATTTCATACATTTCAAACAATATAAAAATATTTAAAAGTCATACCTTGTATGTAATTATAGTATATCAAGAAACTATGGTTACGGCTCGTTGAATTTGACCATAGAATTTGACACTTTATGTTGATAGACACTGTGGTAGGAATCAAAATACATGCTGAAATAATTGAAAATATAGATGGGGAATGAAGAGATAATGTTATTTTTTACCTTTATATTTATATATATCTCTTCTAACCTCGTTTATAATTTTAGGTTATTATTTTTTACAATTATATTTAGTAAATAAATTCAGCAAAAATAATTCGTCACAATAATAAGAGCTACACAGGGTATCCCAATATTCCGAGGACATAGAACTACTCCGGATTTTTGGACTCAAATTAAGTTAATTGGGCATAATTTGCCTCTATTCAAAAGTGGTTTGTTTGTCCGCTAGAGGGAATCAAACTAACCAAAATAATCAAAATCACATTTTTTCAGATATTTTAATAACCGTTATTCTGATTTGAATGAGATTTTGGATGTTTATGTTTTGTTAAGTGCATTAAGTGCAACATTTGACTTACACAAAAATCATCAAGAAAAAGTACGGGTAGGGTAAAAACTACACCCACCCCTATATACATTTTAGTATAAACATTTTCCAACTCAACCGACGGCCGATTTTCTTTTCGTAAAATGGTCCCTCTAGTATTTACTACATTTTTTGCACCTCTTGTAAAAAAACGCCACCGTGCAGGAAAAAAAATTCAAAGCTGACTTCCAAAAAATGTTTTTTGTCACATCAAGCTATGGATGCGCATAAAATCTATTATGCTCTAATAATCTAGTTGGAGAAAATATGGAATTTTGTTGTTAGTATCACAAATTATATTTGACAATAAGCTTCATAAAAAGCTTAAAAAAAATGTGTAATTTTTAAATTAATTAACGTTTGGGTTTATTTTTGCTTGATGTCCTTTAACGGACAAACCAAGCACTTTTGTATAAAGGTAAATTATGTGTAATTAACTTATTTTGCTCCAAGAAATACGTACATAGTTGTTGTGGAACTCCCTGTATATTTTATAAGCCTGTTTTGAAAAAAAAATCCCCAAAAATTTTTTTCGGAAAAACTATGCGATGTGGCGTTTTTTACAAGAGACAAAAAATGTATTAAATACTAGAGAGACTATTTTGCGAAAAGAAAATCTGTCGCCAATGGAGTTGGAAAATATTTATACCAAAGTTTATGTAGAGGGGGGGGGGGGGTATTTTTCACCCTTCCTGTACTTTTTCTTGATTTTTGTGAAAGCAAAATGTTAAAGCACTTTGCAAAACATAGATATCAAAAATCTCATTCAAATCGGAATAACGGTTCTTAAAATAAAAAATGTCTATATCTATGTGGCGGATTCATCTTTCCAAAAAAATCCTGTATGGGTATTTCGCCACTGCAGTGAATTTCGGCACTGCACAAGAAAATCTACAAAATAAAATAATTATTTTTTGTAAACACTTCTGGCGTTAAATCTAAACGGACGCTGCTTGTCAGAAGTTATGTTTACAGTAATACAAATTTGCCTAACAAAGAAAAAAAAATGCTGAACGTTTCGGAAAGTTATCTCTTTCCGTCGTCGGAAGCAAAAAAATACAAAGAATAAAGAAAAAAACTATTTAAAACATTTAAATTCAAATATTCGAGAACACTTTACTTTTTTAAAACAGATACGTCTACAAGAAACCGTTGACGTTCTGTTAAAAAATCTTAAAATAAAAAAAAAAACTTCTTAGGTTCTTAAAATATCTCAACAAATTTATTAAGATTGATGTCCTCTAGCGGACAAACGAAGCATTTTTGTATAGAGGTAAATTATATCCAATGAACTTATTTTCATTTCATAAATGCGCAGTAGTTCTCTCTCCACGGAATATTGGGACACCCTGTCTCAATAAATATATTATTTTACTTGGTCTTTAAAAAAAATCTGAACCATTCAATAAACTTGTAGGCATTCTTTTTCAGTGGATAATTGAGTTAATTATTGTCACAAAAAAAATTGTTGAATGTCATTTTAGTCTGTGCTTACTATCGCTAAGGAAGTAAATTCATCTCTGTTAGGCTAGGTATTCTGTGATACAATGTTTAAATTAATATATAGTATAGTACGAACCAACCAAGAAAAGACTACAAGCGTCATACCAAGAACGATCGCCTTCTCTCTTGAGTCAACATGGACATGCCAGTGGAAGAGAGACAGACGATACCTAGGTGTTGACGCTCCTAGCCTTCTCTTAACTGGTTCTATATATACACATATATACACATGGCCAAAATTATTGCATATATCATTTAAAAATATACGGAAAGGAATTTAAAGAATCTTTTTTTATACATATCTTTGATAATCTGTAATAAACATTTTTTTTTGTTAAAATGGATATGGTAAACAATGTTTATCGTTCAGACCCTATATTATTTAGTGATGGGAAAAACCGATTAATTTCAATAATCGAGTACTCGAGTTTAAAGCGATTGCAATAACGGAGTGATCGCTCGAGCGAAATATCACTCGTATTTAAAAATACGGTTTTTCACCCGTCGCTTGTTGTAAGTGCTCGTTAACGCCAAGCGCCTAGCAGTAAGCTGCGTGCGCAGTGATGAATGACAAGCAGCAAGCGGCGAGCCATTCGCTTGATGGCTTGATTGCTTGATTTAGTTTATTTCAAAGCATTGTCGATGTAGGTCGTAAAATTTTGCCCCTCAGATACGCAACGGATAAATATATATACGGCGTCGTATAAATTTGCTACCTGCAATGTATGTAGAAAATTCGCTCGGCTTTTTATCTAGTATGTCACATTAAAATTGGATTTCAATTTATTTCAATCTAGGATCGCTTGCATCGCTCGTTCATAATCGAGCGATGTCGGTTATTTCAATAATCGGGTACTCGAGCGAATTTTCGCTCGAGTTATCCCATCACTAATATTATTACGAATTCTTGCACATTTCGATTTGTGGTCTCTTGGGTTTCAGCAGAAATTTGAAAGAAAAAAATTTGAGCATTGTTTTGGCCTTAAAATGCCTAGAAACATTATTTCACAGTTTAAAAGAGTCAGAATAGTAACACTGTCTCAACAGGGCTACCGGCAAGTTGCAATAGCTGAAATTGTAGGAGTTGACCAAAGCGATGTTTCGCGAATAATAAAAAAAAATCAAGGAGACAAACGAGGTTACAGACCGGCCTGGTAGAGGTAGAAAGAGAGTTACTGCTGCTGTGCAAGATCATCAAATATCCCTAATTGCACGACGCAATCCCCTGCTTTCTAGTACTGCTATTAAAAATGAATTAGCTCGCCTTGAAGGAGTAAATGTTTCAAGAAAGGCCATAGACGACTCCATTACCGAGGATTACATTTAAGGAGGCCTCTACGTGTTCCGAAGCTTAATTTACAGCACAAAATTACGCGACTACAATGGGCTGAGGAGATGAGAGCAAATGGACCTAATTGGAATTTCGTCATGTTTAGTGATGAAACAAGAATAGGCCTAGTGTCAGACTCGCGACGAACTTTGGTCTGGAGAGCATCTGGAAGACGAGCATGCTTGAATGCAGCTCAACCCCGTGTCCCGTTTCAAGGGGGAAGCATTATGGTATGGGCAGGTGTAATGCACGGAGGTCGAACTCCTCTTGTTTTTATTGATGGCACAATGACAAGTGCCTCATATCTTAGAGACGTTTTAGAGCCTATTGTACGTCTATGTCCTTGGGCAGTGAGGGATGAATTTGTTTACATGGACGATAATGCCCCTCTCCATCGCACTTTAGCGGTTCGCGAATTTTGTGAGGAGGAGGGTATAACTGTGGTGGCCACCGATATCTCCAGATATAAATGTGATCGAGCATGCTTGGGACATGCTAAAACGCCATATTGCCAGAAGGAATGATCCCCCCGTACCTTAAATGAATTGAAAATTGCTGCGCGCGAAACATGGGAGCCATTCCTCAACATCTTCTGGACAACTTAATTGAGGGCATGCCACGTCGTCTCACAGCTTGCATTGAGGCTCGAGGAGGCAATACAGACTATTAGTTGTGAGAAATAATTAAAATTGTTTTCAATATTTTCTGTTTAAAATGAAATTTGATTTTGTTGAACTTCACCCATTATGAAATAAAATTATAATAACAGCCTAGTTGCACTTAGATTTTTAATTTTATATTAGTTAGTCGTGTAGTAAGCCAATATGTCCAAAAATATAAAATAGGTCCAAAATAAAATAAAAATATCGTTATATGCAATAATTTTGGCCATGTGTGTATTTTTTCTGTCACATGAAATTATAAAATAGATTCTTTATATATATAAGTATATTTTTAGGAGTATTCCGCTAAACATTTATATGGCCTTGTAAGCTGTGCATGTCAAAATAACAAAAAATCACGTCAAAGGCTTCTACAAGTTGTTGAGGAAATGGAAAAAAATATATTTAGTAGATAGCATACTGAAATATGTTATTGAATAGTACCTACTCGGTGGTGTTTCTATGTGATATTTTAATTTTCTTAAAACTAATTGTATAATATTAAATAAGATTATTAGCACCAAATGACATATGGATGGAAAAATGTACGTTATTACCCTTTGTTTCTCTAAGGAATCTAAGTTTATTTATCTATTTTGTTGACTGATTTTGTTACTACTTATTTCTATTTTACTTATATACGCATATATTTACAAATATTGAAAACAGTGTAATTAATGTTAAATGTTTAAGTATCAATACTATTTTTTTTATTAGGTACATATTTTAGTTACATAATGTTTGAATATGCCTCAAATCTGTGTTTTAACTCTGAGTTCTTAAATAATAAGTAATATTAAAATCTATAAATGCATAAAGTTCAGTAATAAATTAATATTCTAAAGTTTAACTTTTTTATAATTAATAAACTCAGAGTTGAAGTTATTAACTCTATAGGCTTGGTGCATTTCTGTTCATTTTAAAAATTCCAACCGCGGCGCTCCAATGACAGAAATTAGAAGTGCCGGATACCTATAAAGTATTTCACGCAGTCCCTTTACCGTTTATGTTGATCGCATAGAAATAATATTAAATTCGTGGCTTTGTCATAATATTTAAGTATTTGATTTTTTACTAGTACAATTATTGAAGCTATAAAACACTCAGGCACGAAGTTTGTGTGATGTAACGCTGTATTGGGTAGTGAAAAATAAGTAAAAAGAACCCGCAAGCCACGCCCCCTCCGCCGACGCATAAATACGCGCTACGCCGACGCGGAGGCATCAGTCTAGTGTGAGCAATCGGAGCAAACACACCTCTGAAGATGCTAGCCACTCGTGCTAGCGAAACGTTAGGAAGCAATTCTAACCGACGACGGCCTAATAACCCGAAAAACCAAAATTCTTTAATAACTCAACTTCTCTGGATTTGATCAAAAGCAAAAATGGATTGAATCAGTTCGACGAAACAACTGAGTAAACAAAGTGCTCATCACATATGAGAAGATAAAATATAATTTGCAATATTAATGGTATAATTTTTTTCAATCAACTAGTGATTAAGTGTTTTATGAATATCTTCTCAAATTAGAAGTATGTACCTTTAAAAAATTTCGTTGTAGCCGAAATAGCTCCAATCATGACCCCACTAACAAAACCGGTGCGTGAAACTATACTCTCTACCTTAGTAGAACTCATCTAAAAAGTTTTTTAACTTGAATAATATATTATAATAAGTTAGACCTTCTTAAGATATCAAAATATTTACTTTTTTATTTTTACTATTTTCACAAATTATACTTCCTTGCACTTTTAGAATAATTAAATAATACATTTTTTGTATACTCGTTATTTAAACCTGTGTTATATGTCTATACCATTTTGGCGAAACCTTGGGTCGGGGTTTACATTTATAGGAGTGAATCGCTATGGCAATCTAGTAAGTCGGAGAAAGCAAAAATACGAAGTATTTATTATATAATCACTTAATCTGAAGCTAGATTTCATGCGCTTGGGAAAATACTTGCCTTCTGTCTTTATTCAGTACATCTTATTTTACTAAGAGTGTTGACCTTCGTATACACGAAAATCCGCACCCAAGGCCAGCAGTGGGATTCTGTAAGCTCTGTAGCAAGAAATTTCTTGCCTAGCCTATGTTATTTTCATACGATTGATGAGTCACAATACAGGAAATATGGTTACAGAATCGCACTGCAGAAATGCCGACCCTAGTATACCAGTTGTTTACGATATTCTCCGATGGTGGTAGCACCGGCGGAGAATGCACCAAGCCTATAGGAATTGTTTATATATTTATTTTCGTTATTAATGTCATTATGAGAACGTAACTTTTAATCGTTGATGTTTCACGTGGTAAAACTTAATTTATATGTTTCTTTTTAAATACATTTATTTTAACACATCTTAGTTTATGTATTATTTGTTAATTAATACAAATATTAATACGCTGTGCTGTTAATTTTCCGCACGTGTAGATTGGTCCTTTTTGCCTGTTTTACATGGCTAGGTATAGTAGGTAAATTTAGTTTATAATCACAGATAACATAAGTACAGGGTGGTCCGAACCGTATTCCGGAAACTTCGGCAGCACGTTCTGCAGATAAAAATAAGTAAAAAAGTTCGTATAAATGTATGTCCTAAAATGATTAGTTTCGGAGATACAGGGTGTAGAAGTTTCGTTTTTATTTCGATTTTTTTCAAATAATTTCTAAAATAACGTCAATATTTGGATGAAAATTGGTGTCTGGGAGTATTTTGACGTGAGAAATTTGATTTTGATGTCAATATGACTTCTACTTGTAGAGGGCGCCACCTACGGTGTTGTAACTGTTTTGAAGAGTAATAACTTTTCGTCCGTATCTGTATAAAACTACTAAGTAAAAAATATGCATTTACGACATTTTTAACGTAAAAAAGGTATCTTGGTAAAAATCGTTACGAGTAACAGTTTTCGAGATATTTGGAATTGAAATTATCAATGCCTGTCATCATTGACATGTCAACATGTCAACTAAATAGTTATTATTATTAGACTGAAATCATAGATTTGAAATGTTTTTGTGCCAAAAGTTTAACAGAAACTGTTTTATCATAATTTTTTCGCAGATTAATTTAAAAAATTAAAAATTTCTTAAATTTATTATTTTAGTCAAATAACTATCTACTCAACGTGTTTATTTTTTTGTCAGTAATGACATGTATTGTCTATTTCCATTCTAAATATCTTGAGAACGGTTGCTCGTAGCGATTTTTAACAAGAGACATTTTTTACATAAGAAGTCACGGAAATATATTATATTTTTTCACTCAGTAGTTTTATACAGGTACGGACGAAAAGTTATTACTCTTCAAAACAGTTAAAACATATGTAGATGGCGCCCCCTACAAATAAGAGTCATATTGGCATCAAAATCAAATTTCTCATGTCAAAAAACTCCCAGACATCAATTTTCAATTAAATACTGACATTACTTCAGAAATTATTTGGAAAAAATCGAAATAAAAATGAAACTTCTACACCCTGCATTTCCGAAACTAAGCATTTTAGGACATACATTTATACGAATTTTTCTACTTATTTTTACCTGTAGAATATGCTGCCGAACTTTCCGGAATACAGTTCGGACCACCCTGTATAATGTTATCTGTGTTATAATTGTATTTAAAATAATGAACCAGGAAAATAAAAAATACATAATTTTTTTACAAAATTTATTAAACCATGTATATCATTATACTTAGATAATGCTACTGTTATATTTTTACAACGCAACATCAAATATTTAGCACCAATTTGACAAAAATGACGTATTTTATTTAACTCTTATTCCTATATCACCTGGATTAAACACTGACCAAAATGTCCTTGTATATGAATATAGATGATTTAATTATTAACGTAAATTTGTTTCGACATAAGTATCATTTAATCATCAACATTGATACACATAAAATTCATTTTCTACAATCTTAATACCTCTACAAATATCTTATAATACTGAATTCAGAATTATATGATATGATATAAATCATTTTATGTCGTTTCCATACAGGTGTAGAAAAAAATTAAGATAACTACTATATATCATGCATTTAATGCAATTACCTAATCTAGATCTATCAAAGCCATCTTAAAATTATATCGATCTATGATCTACCAAAATCCTACATTTTAAATATCACATTGTTTACATATCGTAAAAAAATAATTTGATTATGTTAAATACAAACCAAATTATTTTATTAACCAAATAAATTGACAGTTTTGATGAGAACATCAATGAGCAATAATCGTTTTATGTATAATTCGTAAAAAATAATGTACAAACACGTGATACTACATATCTTATTTATTTACAATACAAAAGTCAGTAAATATTAAAAAATATTATTAATTAGTAACATAAATAGCCGATATACCTAATTATCGAAAAAAAGCGGCGCCAAGGAAATGACCGATGACATTTTCCATATAATTTTACATAGAAAATGACAACGCTCCTTATATAGTAAACGCCACGAATGTTTGGGAGTGATTCATCGCTTGATGAAGTTAGAATCGACACGCCCAAGACGATACTATATCGCGTTTCTTTGATTGATTCGTTTTTGTGCGTCAGTCCATTGGTGTGCTCGCAGTGCGACCAATGGGGCATCCCAGTTTATTTTTATAACCAAATATATGTTTTGACAAGACTTTGACAGTTCAAACAACAAATTACAACAGATTATATATTGATTATTATATGACTTAAAACACCACGGCACTGGAATTAAGTTTTATGTGACCTGGAACAGATTAGTTCACATGGTAGCGACCGATGAATCACTCCCAAACATTCGTGGCGTTTACTATATCTAAACTATCTTCGCCGTTTTTTTCATTTGTATGGTATTTGGGCAATATTAAGATCTGTTCAAATTGTAAAAAACTCTCAAGAAACCTGTCGTAAGTTGGGAAGTTTTTATAATTTTAAAATGCATTTGCACTTTTATACCGGGTGCGCCTCAAAAGTGGCTCATCCCTATAACTGATATTTTTTGAGATAAAAAAAAACGAGATTTGGTATGTTAGTATATGACATAAATTAGAATTGATTGACGTATTCAATTATTGTTCCCGGTCACTTCCTGTTTCACCAAAACTGACTACTTTTGATTCTTAATTGGCACCCACGGTATTTTTTTACTTTATTCTATAGAAAATGACACTTCTGAATATGTCAACTTCTGTCATTCTCGCTTAAAAAAATCGTATTTAAATTCCAATCTAGAGTACCATGTCTGTGTTAAAAACACTAATTTTTAATCAAGGAGCCTTGGAAAACTAGATTTGATCGTCTAATCTTTTTCGTGTTCTTGTCCTGGTCTGGTCGGTTAAGAGATGCCCAAATCGCATTTTTAAACTGTACGCACACTGGTGCGATCTGGCGGCGTTCTATTCTGCGGTGGCGATCAGATTCAACTTGTCGAGTTTGATCGCGTGATCGCGACCCAACTGATAGGAATTTTCCGATATTTTGTGTGTTTTTTCTTGTTGCAATTTATAAATGGAGTTAACAGAGCAGCTAATTAAGGCTGTAAACATACACAAAATTCTATATGATTTATCCGATCCAAGTTACAAAAATAATATAATTAAAAATAAAAAGTTTGAGACAAAATTGGAGTTGCAGTTGGATTGGATAGTACATGTATAAATTTTTATTGCTTAAGTTTAAGGAAATATTTAAGAATTTTTTTTTCGGTATACATAATTCACATTTTTAATTTGTACTAGTGATGGGATAACTCGAGCGAAAATTCGCTCGAGTACTCGATTATTGAAATTAATCAGTTTTTCCCATCACTAATTTGTACGTATGTATACCTACAGGATAGCTCACTACATATAGGAACGGCCGGCGGTGAACGTGAACGTGTTGGTGTGTGCTAGAATGATCGCTCATGTTATCGCTGCCCTGATCGTGATCGTGATCGCGGCCGTGATCGCGCCAGTGTGCGTGTAGCTTTAACGAACCTCATTTTTTTCAAATGGAACGAGGGTGGCTCATTAGCATATTTGGAAAAGGCAATTTTTTATGAATAATTTGGTACCACACAATTTGATATTTCGAGTCAAATTACGACCTCTAAATTGAAATTAAAAAAATCTATTTTTTTTAATGCAATATGCCAAAAGTTGACATATGATATCTATCTCCGAGTCTATCTCTATTCAGAGTGTCATTTTCTATCGAATAAAATAAAAAAAATTACCGAGGGTGCCATTTATTAAAAATCAAAAGTTGTAGTCATTTCCGGTGGAACAGGAAGTGACTGAAAAGAATTGAATATGTTAATCAATCCTAATATTATATGTCATATACTTAAACATATAGAAAATCACATTTTTTATCTGAAAAAAAAGTTATAGGGGTGAACCACTTTTGAGACGCACCCGGTATTAGTGAACTGAGCTCTGTAGTTCGTATTTGTACGTTTAATTATCAATATGATAATTATCTATGTTTGTACAATATGATCGAAAAAAAAATGGCGACAGCGATGGCTATGAAATGAATATCGTTGTCATTTTATGTGTAAAATTATATATGGGTAATGTTATCGATCGTCACTTCCAAGCCAGCTAGACGTCGTTTTTTTCGATCGTACGGTATTTTAAAACACAGGCAAGAATTTTGACTTGTACTTCATATCTAAATTAGTATAATTTTTTTCAGTAAAATTATTATTTATGGATAGTTCTAGCAACTAATATGGCATATCTAAAATGCTTTGATAATAAAAGATATTGAGCAATTTGAAGGAAATTTCCAACAAGTTTGAACATCTGCAGCTTCATTTTTTATTTACTGGCAGTGGTGCGGCTAGAACAATAAAGATGATGTCATAATCATGTTTTATTCTCTTTACGCACCACAATTCTTAGTTAAGAATCCCTCTCTAGTACAACACCCTAACTTAACATTATCATAAATAAGTTAAAAAAATCACATAAATAACCAACTTCAAACTTCAGATTTGAATCATCACTGAATCTGCAAAAAGGAACATGTCTGAGTGGTTTTTGAACTAGTAAAAATTTTCTATGTCCTATTGATTTCTTGCTAGTTTTGTTCAACGTATTTTCATTCGTGTCCTTCCGCATTTATAATTTGATTTAACGGAGTTACTAAACTATTGAAATATACTTCCAGCTCTTTTGACGTTAAACTTGACCTTTTTTCTGGAATATAACTGGAAAGTTTCCTGTCTATATTCATGACCAGTTCATCTTCGATCCATGGCATTTCGTTGTTTCGTTGGACAGTTTTCGATTTGGTGAATTTATGTACAGAGTATATTAGGAAAACGGCACCTAATACGAAGGAGGCGTACATGATGCAAGTTTGAGCTGTTGGAATGATCTCCAGGTAGAATTTAAAACGCAGGTTGAGCTTTGGAGGCAGTTTGTACATTCCCTGAAATAGGAAAAAATCACATAGATTAATATAAAAAAAAACAAAATTGATTTTTATGTTTTAAAAGTCAATTAATTTTAATAAACCATAATTTTAGTTTGGTTTGGTTGTTTGATATCAATCAATTAAACTTTTAGTTACGTAATCGAGGGCGCGATTTTTAAATTCATTGTTGCCAACCATGGCCATATTCGGCACCGGACTGACTAACTGGAATTTAAATTTCGTGAGGTGGTAGCTCTGCTGTAAAATATGTTAAGTTGCCACATTTATATATTTATTTCCTGACATTGTCATTCGTTTTGACACTTTAGTTTTGTATTACGAGTTTATGGTTTAAATAAATAATATTGTTATGATACTGTTGCGGACCCGTGTGGACTCGACTTAACCTAACTATATGTCCCGCCCTCAGATGACCTTAACATCGCATTAAAGAATAGACACCGTAATGACTCATTCGTTCGAGAAGAATCGAGTCCCACTGGAATGGAGTAGTACATACGAGAACATTCGAAACCTTCTCTATGCACCTAACGATCTATGGACTATTCTAGAAATCTTTAGCTGTAGGTATAAAAGCCGGCGGCTGTGGCCTAGAGAGGGCAGTTATAAATAGACAAGTACAGTTGACGCGCTAAAATTCAAAAATAAATTCTTAGTTATAAATCGTTTGTAAATAGTTCTTTAAGTCTTTTATCGTTATCGTTTTTGTTAATTAGTGTTAAATGAATAGTGTTTAAATAAATTGTGACTTTCTATCCACACGGAACCGACGAAAAACGTAACAATACTTTAAGCTTAAAATGTTTACAAGCAGACTTTGCAGTCGAACGTTGTTCTTTTTCGAAACTCTTTTGGTGCGAAGAATACAAGATAGCTTAATAGCCGTAAAAAAAACTCATCGCAACTTTATTAGAATATTTTGAACGGGAAAGCGGTAGTAATGTGCCTTTATATCCCTTAAGTGCTGTTAAGAAGGTGAGTTTTGTTGATGTAAATAATAACTGTTTATATGTGTAGTTATAATTAATTTATTGTTGTTTCCTAAAATATTTTGATTAAAAGAAAATATGTAAAAGTGGACAACGCTGTACCGGTCGGGCTTAATCACGTGACTAAAAACTTATTTGATATAAACTATATCTATAATATAATATAATTTTTTATGTATGTTCCTAATATTTCTAGGTTGACAAAGTATCTCTGATTGATCTGGCATTACAATTTGGTTAGTATCGCATTATACAGCGGCCAGCACCAGCGGCGCGGCGGCGGCCTAGCGTGGCGTCAATACAAGGGGATGTAATAAATAACTTCAATTAACATTTTACCAACACAATAAAGTTTTTTTTATTAAAGTTTTTAATTTTGAAGTTACAAAAATAAAATATACAAAAAATGTAACAAGTTAAAATAATAATCAAACCAATTTAAAAAAAGTACTAAATTTAGGTAAAAAAACAAAGCTGTGAACAACAAGGCCAACAAAAAAATTTATTGAGTGCCTTACAACCACATAATGAGTGTTCACTTTTATCCTTGTCTTTTATAAACATTTTGAGTAAAATGACGAATACACGATTTTAATTTAGTATTAAATATGCTTTGAAGGTCCTTCTTCAATAGTTTTTAATTTTTCTGAATACACCATAGAACTGAAGGATTATTGCAAAATTATTTCTATTTTACAGCCGCACTCAGAATCCATCATCGTGACGCGCGACGATATTTTTTATTTTATACCGCGAACGAGATGTGTTTTTGCGGTTGCATCATCCACCGACTAAAACAGCGAACGGGAGACGTAATCGCGGTCGGAAAGTTCACTGACCCCGGCCCGCGTCTGGCGGCGTTGAAGATGTAACGAGGACAGTCGCATCGTGCTGTCGAGATATTTTTAGCGTTTAGCGTAGGTCTTTAGCATTATCTATAAAGCTCGATCAACACACACATTAAATAATTATTGAAATTTACTGAGAATTTTAATTTATTATAGGAGATCTCGGTGACTTTATTAAATATAAACTATAAACAATATTTTGAAGGGATGCGACGCATCACCTGCATCAATCGCTTCGCCGCTGATTTTTTAAATTTATTCCATATTTTATACTTACAATTTCAGTCCATAGTAGTGGCAAGACCATATTAGCGAACTTTTCCGTATTGGCTATATTTTGAATATCTCCTAGTGCCATATTAATCTGATATCGTACAGCAAGATTTATAGGCAATCCAGAGTCCTAAAAAATATAAAATAAAATAAATATGTGTAACAGAAATATGTTCAGAGAATGTGAAATCCCTATTAAATGGGAAATTATGTCATTTATCCATGTTAGTGTCCATAAGTACTCACTATGCGTTCATGCGGTTCGCCTTGTAACTCCATAGTCACTATAGGTTGATGAGTCGATGCAATGTGCTGAGCCGCGGTTCAAAGAGAAGTCGGTTTTTGGACGAACCAAACGACAAGGAAAATAAATCTAAATAAATATCACGAACACAATGGACCTAATTTGAAACGATCTAACGAATCGCATTGACAAACCGCATTAACGCATAATGAGATGAGTATGGGGTGACAAACCGCATCTATGCATTGCATTGGCGAACCGCATCATACTCATGACTATGTGTACAACGACGCATCAGCGCATAGAAGTATAAGGCTTTATTGTCTGTCAAATTTAAAGTAAAGAAGTGAGATATTTGCCTGATTTATATTTTAAAGTTGTTTTTTGGAAGAAATGCATATATACTCGTATACATGAATATTGAGAGTGAAGAACCATATATAAGCGATACCAATTAAACGTTTAGTTACGTAATCGAGGGTCAAACGTTCTGTAGCATCCCTGTGACGTAGTTGCAGCTTCGCCCCTATTGGTCCAAAACAGGGCCATGTAAGTGAAATATTAAAAATGGTTCCAGCAAAAGTTTCCCAATTATGACGGATGATGGCGCTGATCGTCAAAATTTTTGGACAGGGATTTTGCTTACCGACAATACGACGTGAGCTACGACCGGACAGGACCAATCAGAATGAATGATCAGTCCACAGAATATACTAACGAAAAAGAAGCCCAAGTTCCTTGTAATAAATCGGTTCCATTTTCGTAACGCCATCTCTCGACACTTAAAAATCAAATTTTATTATTGTCAGATATTGACATTTGCATTGTTAATATTGACAGTTTTAATATTTTGCGCCTCTGCATCTTGGAGGAAAAACTATTTTTAATGAACTGTTATTTCCATTTAAGTTTCTCAGCCATGGTGTTGTGTTACTTTAAGCTTGAAAATGTGTACAAGCAGACCTTGCAGTTGAACATTGTTCTTTTTAGAACCTCTTTTAGTGCGAAGTGTACAAGATAGCTTAATAACCGTAAAAAAATTATCGCAACTTTATTAGAATATTTTGACCGGGAAAGCGGTAGTAATGACCCTTTATATCCCTTAAATGCTGTTAAGGAGGTGAGTTTTGTTGATCTAAATAATCATTATTGTCATTCGTTTAGACACTTTAGTTTTGTATTACGAGTTTTTGGTTTAAATGAATTGTGTTGTGATAATTTAAGCTTAAAAATGTTTACTAGCAGATCTAGCAGCCGAACATTGTTCTTTTTAGAACCTCTTAGTGCGGAGTGGGTACAAGATAGCTTAATAGTCCTTGCAAAAACTCATCGCAACGTTATTGTTCTTCAACGGGAAAGCGGTAATAATGTCCCTTTATGTCCCTTAAGTGCTGTTAAGGAGGTGAGTTTTGTTGATGTAAATAATAACTGTTTATATATTTATAATTAATTTATTTTTGTTTCCTAAAATATTTTGATTAAAAGAAAACATGTAAAAGTGAGCAAAGCTGTGCCGGTCAAGCTTAATCACGCGACTAAAAGTGTAATTGGTATGATCTATATATAAATAGTCTTAAAAGGTACAATTTTTAAAGTAGATGATAAGAGATAAATAATCAGTAGGTAATCTAAATAATAAATAATTTCTATTTGAAGCTGGATTTCTGGAGAAAACTGTGTAAGAGAATGTTAATATGAGTTTGTATATTTCCAGACATTTTTATACAAAAGTATCTCCTATGCTTATTCTAATTATAGTCTGTCCAGCAAAAAATATATGACAGTGACAGTCGTTTGTCATTGTATTTAATAATTAGATACTTTTTTCTGGTATTATTTGGGATATCCACTGTCAAAATCATATACATCCCTCTGAACATACTAAACGAATTATTCAACAAGTAATAAAGGTGATGGTATTTACCGGTTGGATTATAAAATAGCTTCTATGATGGTCGGGATTTGGGTTTAAACCACTTTCTACTTTAGCAAATAAAGCTTTGTCGCCATCAAGGAAATGTGGATAACTGAGGGCAATAGGAAATCCATAATAACAGCCTCTCACATCCAGTAAACCTTTTGGTAAACAGCGGTTTATATTTTCTTCTTTACAGAAACAACGGTTCTTGGCATACTCGCGGCCGTTGTCGTCCGTATCGTTTGCGAAATGGTAGACGTAGGCTTTGAGACCATTCACTCTGGTTTCATTGATGCGAACCTGAAATACAAAAATAGAACGTAAATAATAGAATGAAACAACTAGAAAAATAAATGGAGATTTTAATTAGTTAAGTTAATAATAATTTTATTTCTTTCTTGTTTGGTTTGGTCTGTCAACGGAGAAAGATCGTACGTTAACGGATGTTTTGACACTTTTTTGGCCAATTTAATCTAACCTTAATAAAAATATAATAGTACAAGAGCTAGCACCGTCGGCAAAAACGATAATTTTGAGAAATCTGGTTCTTTAAATTTATCTTTTGCTATGATGCTCTCCTGACCAAACTGCGGGCCGTGTGGCTCCTACCGGTAGACTACTGCCGTTCACTACTGCGTATCACATCTTTACAGGGTACGCCATTTTCATGTGTTTTATGGGATTTCTCGTTTATGAGTAGAGATACAATGATGCGATTTTCACATTACTTTGCTACTTTTTTATGAAACTAAATATGCTACACAAGGTTTGTCCTAACATCCTTAGTTCCTGAAATAAAGGGCGAATTTGTGATGTGCAGTAGTGAACAGGATGTTGAATACAGATATGATGCGCAGTAGTGAACGCAACGTCTACTGGCAGCCAGACGGTCCACACTCAGTTCAAGAGAGCATAGCAAAAAATATATTAAGAACCAACCAATCCAAACCAAACTAAAGCAGCTTTCTTAAAATTCTCTCTCGAAAACGTTCGTTGCTAGCTCTTAGACTATAAGTAAAACAGCGAAATCGTTATGGAAATGAATATATAAAATGACACCAATCAGAAGCAAATCGTATATCCGATGAACGAAGGTATGAAAATGCAATAAATCTAAAAACTGCGTAATTTTCTAACCAATCCAAGTATTTAAATTCAACCAATAAAATTAATATCGTATCGTCGGACAACGGATGCATGAAAATCAAGCTTTATACGCTGTGTCTCGAGTCCCGAGCTTGTTTATGTTTTTAAACGGCAGCCCTTGTATCCCATAAGCATCGTCTTTCACGATATTTTTCTTACAAACTTATTCAAGAGACAAAATTAATTATTAATAATTCAAATAAAATAAATGCTAGTACTTTTTACTAATGAACTTGACTAAACTGACCGGTCTACATTTGTTTAGTCGGCGCTTTAGTTCAAAAATAGAGGTGGGGATGACCACTTTAGAATTAGAATTTAGAATGAGTGGGAGGGGGGTTAATCACTGTGATCTTACAGATCTATTGTGTCCCCCGTACTTGAGTTATAGCTCATTATACAGTCCCAGGGCTTTGACAAAAGCCAGTATCATACAGTATCATAGATAGAGGAAATCATGGATATCATGGATAGATTGGAATGCTCGTCAAAATTTTGAGTCGCGAAATTGTTTTGGGTCGCGACCGTTGTACGCGATCTGGCGCTGCTATAGCGGTTGCTAATACCAACCGCAAACAAAAACAGAAATAATTTTCTCTTGTCCATATCTCTTGTCAAAGTCAGAATCTTCAAAAATTTTAAAATCTTTCAAAATCTAAACCGCTCTCATTGAAAAAATTCCGAAAAGTGTTTAAAGCGTCCATTTTCAAAGTAATTATTCCTATCTTGTGAGTTTAATTTAAGTTTTATTTACTCAAACTCGTGATAATTGTGAAAAACTTAAAAAGCTGTGCTGTGAACTGCAAAAACCATCGTGGGTCGTGGCATAACGTCGGTTTCCAATGTTTCATGGGTATTTCATACATGTTCTTATATAAACTAAAGTTTCTTGTATGCAACACACTGTATTTTATTTATAAAATTAAAATAAATTTATAATAAATTTTAATAAATAATATTTGGCGATATAATTCCGGAAAAAGCCGAAGCGCTCCGAAATTTTCAAAAGCTTTGGGTCGCGACCGTTGCAAGAATAGCGCCAAATAGTGTTTACATTGTCCTTATGGTCACTTTCCAATCTAAACTTGTTTCATTTATCTATGGCCAGTATCTGGGACGGTTTTACTGAGGGATGACCACTTGCGCAAGTAAATAGGAATCCTTTCTATACAATTAACTAAACAGTTTACTAAATCGGGTTGTTTACACCATGCAGGTCACTAAATTTAGTTATTAATTTAGTAACTTGCTTTAGCTATACTTGACATGTGTAAATCAGGCTTTATGTGTTAAATCGATAGTCGACAATCTACATAGTCGAAAAAATTTATAATGAGAACCCTAAATAATAATATTTAAACTTCAAAATGAATATTTAAACTTTTCAAAACATGATATATTATAATGACGACAATGGATACTTACTAGTTCTTTTGCTCGGCACATGCTTTTCCTGAAAAACAGCAACGTGTCGTTCGGTTTGATGCTGCCTGGGAATTTGGTACCGTCAGATGAACCGGATATGTCACCGCAGGGACTGTCCCATTGGGGAATTTTTGTTGCGCCATTGTACGTGTCGATGAGACCGATGTTTGACAGGCCGTGTTTCGTGCCGGTGAAGACGGTTTCGTAGTCGCCTCTGAATTCGTACATCTGAAGTGAAAATTAAATGGGTTTAGCATATGGTAAATACGGTGACAATTCACTTGTCAGAATGCTAATGGGAGAATTAGTATTCGCAATTCGTATTTAAAAATTTGAAATCAATTTGTATTTATAGTTATTGGCTTTGTTCAAAATTTGAATAAAACTTATAATTAGAAAATAATTTTCTTATTTTATATATATTTTTCATTCAATTTTTATTCTAGTCTGTTCCAATCAGAGGACATCTGACAGTGACGTCTGTCATTTTATTTTATACAGGATCCGGCAATTAAATAGTGCGTCGGGCAAGTATGTACGAGGATTTCAGGAAAATATTTTAACTTCTATAGGGTGGCTCAAAAAAGTGTAACTGGACCGGGATGATTTTTTAAACGGAACACCCTGTACATTATTGCTTTTTTGGCTTCCTTTCAGATCACTTTACATAATCCTAGGTATGAGTAAATATATTTCGATAGTTTCAGAGATAATATAAAAGAGATAATAAATAAAAAAATATATTTTTTTCAACCTTCCTTAAAAAGATATTACAAATACAAGAACTGTGCTGAAATCAAAACTATATTAGATATTTACTTTAGATGGTCTATACTTACTTTGCTATAAATATCGTAATCTTAAATCATACAGAGTGTTCAAAATTCTACGCCAAACTTTCTAAAATATAAAATAATTTTTCTTTCTTTTTTTTTAAATCCTATATATTATTTTTTTATTAGATGTAGAGTTAAAAAATGAACATCTTTTGTATTTGAAGTATTTCAAAATTTTTAATGGTGTCGTAGATACACACAGTATTATTTCATATGGCGCTTTCAAAGGTTGAATACGAGACAAAAATGATTGGGTGGCTTTGATAAAAATTTACTGTGGAAAATGCAACATGAAATATAAAACCGCTAATATCTCCGAAACCGTTAAAAATTTTGAAAATACAAAAAATGTTCTTTTTTTAATTCTCCATCTATTGAAAAAATAATATACAGGGCGTTGCATTAAAAAAAGCGAAGAAAATTTATTTTATATTTTGGAAAGTCTAGCATAGGTTTTTGAACATCCTGTATTATTTACGATTACCATATTTATAGCAAAATAAGTACAGACCATCTAAAGTAAATCCCTAGTGACCTAAAAGGAAGCCAAAAATACAATAATATACAGGGTGTTCCATTTAAAAAGATCATCTGACACTGACACTCTTTTAAGCCACTCTGTAGAAGTTAAAACATTTTCCTGAAATAGATCCTAGTACATACTTTAGGTTTGCACTTAAACAAAACTCACAAGTTTTTCATTCTAGGGGCTACAGATGCCCGAGTCACTATTGCCGGACCCTGTAAGTAAATTGAATTTTTTGTCATTTTAATTCCCATGTGAATTGCATTTTCTGTCATGTTTTGATACAAAAAATACTTCTTACCCGATCGATAAGACCAAGCTTATCGAAATAAATCCAGGATGGCATAAAAGTATTTCCCAGATTCATTAGAGCGCTCTTGTATCCAAACATAAATTCTTTAGCTGTCATTTGAACCAGCGGTTGAGAATTGGTTTGTCTAATGATTACGTTCAATCCCAATCTCGTGAATAAGCCTTTTTTCGAAACCACATCTGCTATACTCTGAAAAAAATAATAAAAAATATTAGCTATTAGTTCGCTTTTATAACAGAATTATCCTAAAATGTAAGTTCATGGATCTATTAGCATTTTTAAACACATTTTCCAATATTTTTTAGTGTTTCTGTATCTCATTAGCTTTTAAACTAGTACAGGTATGTAAAATTATATGGGGATTGCCATCAATCATCGTTTCCAAACCAACTGGACGCCGTTTTTTTCCTATAATACGGTACTTTTTTGTTAGACTTCACGCTTAGTGTCGGGATTTTACGTAATTCAATTAGAACTAAATTCCTATTTTAAACGAAGTAAAATAATGTCAAGTATAATGCACTTTTTAACCATTTCGTACATGTGCATCAGAATGCAAATTATTTTGTTACTAAACTCTATAGCAATATTTCTCTTGTCAAATGATATTAGAAAATGCATCAGCAGTGAATTTAAAACAAATAGGTATTTTGTAATGCAACTAATGTTCTATTGATAAATGTTAAATTGTTTATTATATTAGCAAACACTTCTAACCTTGCCCGGGTGGTATACATATAAATAAACAAAATATTGTCATCTATAGACGTACTGCAAAATAAAAAAAAAATCCAACAGTATATGGGAGAGTTGCAAGTAACCCTGTTTTATTTTACTTAATTTTTACATTTTTCTTTTTAGCAAGTAAATAAGTATTTACATATTATACAGGGTGTCCCACTTAAGATGGATACAAGCCAATATCTTGATTGTTGAGCGATCTTTTTCATTTTTGGCAGGAGGCTGTATGGCTATAAGACGTACATTTTGCCCAGGGTAAGAAATGCGATACCTCATAGACGTACGTTTTAATGGGGTTTGATATTTTTCGAGTCAAGAGTAAACTACCCTTAGGACAGTATTTACTTCAAATCTGATAAATTATATTGAATCCTCCTTTCCTACGATACTTAAGTTCTAATTTTGATAAATATTGATACAGGGTGTGTCATTAAAATAAGACAATTTTATTTTTATTATTATTTTTTAAGTACTTACGACGCCGCTGGATAAACAACAGGTCTATTATCTTTTTTTTTATGGTGGTTTGGTCGAAGATGTTGACTTTTAGTTCTTTATAGTTTTATAAATCTTTGTTTAGAGCATATTTTTCAAAGTTAATAGTGATTGTTTTAAACATCTAACTATTTGGATTTTTTTAAATATTCCTCAATAAAATGAATAAAAATCATATTTCAGATTCCATTGAAAACTGGGTTTTTGAATTATTTTGTAACTCATTTTATTCATTTTTGTATCAGCAAACTTAAAAAACAATTTTTTAAAGTAAACAAAATAAATTGAAAATATTTAGTTTTTTTGTATCGTCTCTTAACTATTATGGAAGCTATCTGAAAACTTAAATCGATTATTAATTGATAATTGGTTATAATTGGTTATTGATAATAAACCTGTTCCAGTCAACAGCCACAACAAAATCCAGTGGCGTCGTAAGTTCTTAAAAAAATAATAATAAAAATAAAAATGTCTTATTTTAATGACGTACCCTGTATCAATATTTATCAAAATTAGAACTTAAGTATCGTAGGAAAGGAGGATTCAATATAATTTATCAGATTTGAAATAAATACTGTCCTAAGGGTAGTTTACTCTTGTCTCGAAAAATATCAAACCCCATTAAAACGTACGTCTATGAGGTATCGCATTTCTTACCCTGGGCAAAATGTACGTCTTATAGCCATACAGCCTCCTGCCAAAAATGAAAAAGATCGCTCAACAAACAATCAAGATATTGGCTTGTATCCATCTAAAGTGGGACACCCTGTATGTTAGAAATATCCTATCCAGATATATGACGTGTTAATTTCAATATGCTCTCTTCTAAATATAAATTTAATTTACTTTTAAATGCGTCTATATTTCGAAAGATAAGTTAATTTTAAATATCAATCATATTCGGATATTTCTAGATTGTATTGCGGCTTTCTTAATCAAATTAATATTTTTATATGCAGACAGTGCCATAAAAATTTATAATATAAACATAGCTATGGTAATTAAAAGTTATTTATTCAGTTTTTTTGTGATATATGTTATCTATTCATCTCTATTTATCGGTCGATATTTTAATGTATTTATATTTCATTACTGATATACAGGGTGAGTCTTAAACAAGTGCAAATATTTTCAGGGCTGGTAGATCTCGATAAAAGAAACATATTTTCTCTTTACCGTTTTTCGAAATAAATCCATAATAACCGAGTTATTTTATTTTAAAAATTTTCAAAAAAATGATTTTTTGCTAAAATTTTGAGATGGATTCTGGGTTTTCTTTATTGTAAATTTTATACACGACCTATGTTGCCGTATTATCAACAAATTATGTCTTTTAACTAAAAAAAAAGTCCAAAATTTTTTCAAAAAATTCCTTTTTCCTTCCAAAAAAAATAAAAAAAATAGCATGTTCTATTCGCCGCAAAAAGTATAATTTTTACTCCTAATAAACAGTATAACGGATGTGTCTGAAAAGTGGCTCATTCCTATAACTTTTTAATTTTTTCAGTTAAAAAACGAGATTTGGTATGTTAGTATATGACATAAATTAGGATTGATTGACGTATTCAATTGTTTCCGGTCACTTCCTGTTTTACCGGAAATGAATACAACTTTTGATATTTAAAAGGTACCCTCGGTATTTTTTTACTTTATTCAATAGAAAATAATACTCTGAATAGAATAACGTATCATATGTCAACTTTTGACATTTTCGAATATGGTTTATTTGAAATTACAATTTTCGGTTCGAAAATTTGACTCGAAATACCAAGTGCGTGGCATCCAATTAATCATAAAAAATGCTTGTTCCAAATATGCTAATGAGCCACCCTCATTCCATTTGAAAAAAATGAGATATGATTAAAAATACCATTTGGGCATTTTTTAACCGGTCAGGACAAGACACTAAAAACATTAGACGATCAAATCTATTTTTCCAAGGCTCTTTGATTAAGAATAAGTGTTTTTAACATAGCCATGGCTCTCTACGTGACGAAAAACAATTGAATACGCCAATCAATCCCAGTTTATGTCATAAACTAACATACCAAATCTTGTTTTTTTTTATCTGAAAAAATAAAAAAGTTATAGGGGTGAGCCACACTTTTGAGACGCACCCGGTATATATTATTTTTCAAAATTTGAAGTGAAGTAGTGTGCAAAAGTTGACTATCGTGACACAAAATAACGTGTTACAATTCCAAAAATAAAAATATTTTAGAGGTTCATTCAAACATAGCAAACCTTACTTGTTACTTACTTACTTACTTACTACTCACTTACTTACTTAGCAAACCAATATAATATTAGTCCTTAGTTAATATATACATTATTTGTTATCTCCGATTAACAGTGTATTCAAAATATAATTCAAAATAATCATCAGGACTTTGTTATTGTTATAATATAGGGCGTCTGGTGCCCTTTATTTTATGAGTTTCAAACAATTGCAGCGAAGTGCTTTGAAAAATAAATAAATAAATAAATAAACCTGTAGAGATGCCTTAGCAATACGTTTATTTATATTAGATTGAATTAAAAAGGCCTCTTTTATTTTTCGTGTAGGATTTTTCTATCATTATAATTTTTGCATTGTTAAAATCTACTCTGTCCTGTGTCACATAAATGTTGACAAATTATGACAAACATTTTTCAAGTTATATCGGTGTTCTCGCAAATTTTCTTAAAGAAATCAACTTACATTTGAATTGAGTATGCTTTTCTTATTCCTAATAGTTAATACCTATATGGGTTTAATTTGTTGATTTAAAACAAATAATTGTTTTGCTGTTGTCTAGCTTTGTAATTTACTAGCAGCAGGTTAATTTATAATTTTAGTTATTATTGGAATATTGACGTCAATGCACATCTAAATTCGTATCTACTTTTCTAATAAACACAATTAGAAAAGCTGGAAAATTTCAAAAAGGGGAAATTAAAGGTTATGCTTTTTTAATTTGCTCAGTCATATTTTATTTATGATTTTTTATTTTATTTTATGTAAGTAAATTGGTTAATTGTATATATTTTAATTCAGATAATTTCTACTAAACGGTCCAATTAAAATTAGTAGTAGCAACCATATATTTGTTGACACTTTTCAGTTATTAATATTTTAATAATTCAAATGACTAATAGAAATGTTATTATTATTATCTTTTTCATTTACTCTAATAAGTTAGAACTTGGTGTAGGAATGTCACTAAAATATTATTTTTAGGTAGGATTGTAGTTTGGACACGTCGTATACAGAGTACTCCACTATAAGTATTTTAGTCTAATGATTTTTACTCCCAGAAATTTAAAAAAATATATATTTTCCAACCAATGACCTTACACTTTTTTTCTAGTAAACGTGCTTGTAATGCACTGCGTGCTATGGGTTTTATCAAGAAATTATGTTGTTTAACCAAAAACTAAAAAAAATCCAAATTTTCCAAAAATATTGTCGCGAAAAAACCTCTTAGACGTGTTTCTGGGGTTGAAATATACTACCCCCAAAAATATTTGGGCACTTATTTAAGACTCACCCTGTATATTAAAACCCAAACAATTTATTAACCTATTAATCATCATGAACAATATTAACGAGAAAATATTTGTAATTGTTCCAATATATTATATTAATATTTTTCAATTTCTAATTTTTAAAATTGATTTTTTAAACTGTTCAGTAAAATTATTGTTTGTTGAAATATTTTAAGCTATGTTGTATTAGAATTTCGTGTCATGTTAGGTACAAACTGCGTACTTGTGTGAAAATACGTCGTCTTCATTAAATTAAAATTAATGTTAATATAAATTAGATTTTAAATTAGATTAGACAAGTTTTAAATTAAAAATAAATATTTTATTTAAAATATTAAAATATGTTTTCAATTAACATAAAAAATAATTAATAAGTAGTATTATGTATATTTATTTCTTAATATTTTTTAGTTATAACATCGAAAATTACAATATTTGCGTTATAGGTATAGCACTTATTCTTTGAAAATAGGAAATTCGTCTTACATTAATATTCAAAGTTTTCTTAGAGTGAATTTATGTATCACCTATTAGGGTAGTGTATAAAAATAGCAGATATATACAGACCGATCAACAATGATCAAAATAAAAAGCAATACCCTGTATAATACGAGGATATCCACAATCTACAATATTCCTTTAATGGGTATATGCCCTACACCGTCTGGGTATACATATAGCATGTATTTTTATATACAGGGTGCTACAAATTCGAGGTATGAGCATTGGTATCTCGGAAACCGTAATAGATACGAAGATGGTTAAATTGGGGCAAAGTTGCGCCTTGAGATGTTCACCAAGATACCATCAAAAAAGTTTTAAAAATTTCTGAGTATTTAGTTTATTTATAAGATTGCTGAGTTTTTTCGAAAAAACGGATTTTTTTGAAAATCAATTTTATTTTTTCCTGTCGTTACTTTTTAGAAAATAAAAAATCTAATTCCACATTCTCATAGCCACTTTATTAGAGCTATCTGGTAGTATTTTTAGATTTTCAAATTAGCTGATAATTTGTGAGATACACAGGCCAACTTATATTTTTTAAATACGGACCTGCATTTTTTATATCAAGTTTTGAAAGAACTCGGTCTCCTGAGTACAACGATATGCCACACTTATACTTTTTTTTGTTTTGGGTAGAGCAGTGTGTGTCAATAGATTTTACACTTTTGCCTTTTTTTGGACGCTACAGCACTATACAGAGTTTCGAACCGGTCACCCGTCCATCCACTAGTATCGCCTTACGTCGTTTAACTTCGGTGATCTTATGGGAACCGGTGTTTCGACGTAGCTGGGCCGTTGCCCTTATTAGCAATTTAAAGATATTGTGTGAGGTTCAAGTTAACGTCTCCTTTCTGATGCAATGGCTAAACTGGACGGGACCTACTTTGTTTACACGGAATCCGAACCGCGGTCCTCGGCCATATCATGGCCAATGGCCTACCGACTTAGGAAGTGTCTAAATTAACTCTTACTCACGAGATATCCGATCTCATCCGGCCTTGAACCGGCGTGAATGAGCAGTGTGTATCAATAGATTTTACACTTTTCCCTTGGACAACAGCACGATGCAAAGTTTCGAACCGGTCACCCGTTCATCCACTAGCATCGCCTTCCGTCGCTTAACTTCGGTGTTCTAATGGGAACCGGTGTTTCGACGTAGCTGGGCCGTTGCCCACTTTAAAGATAATATTATTTTTAACTTTTTTTACTGTGAATTTGAAATCTCAGTGTACGATCTAATAAATTGCATAATATTAATCGTCGCTATTATAATTTAATTAACTTCTCTACTAACTAGTTTCTAGTGCTCTACATGTTCGAAAGGGTTATAACCCACCCTATTGCACAAATTTATTTTTCGTTTAATTTTATTTATAGCTCTTGGAACTTGGAACAGATCTTCTTCTTATACTTCCGAATGTATTTTGTACTCTTTATTGTAAATGGTGAGATGTATTGATTTCAGACACACATATTATTTATTTTATATTATTTTTTTATTATTTTATTGCATTTGATTTTCCGTATTCAATGTTTTAACTCACGTCATTGTTAAGTTTGAAGGCTTATCAATATTGCAACGATGAATAGATTAAATATTTAAAAAAAAACAGAGCCGGACTTGAAATTAGTTTAAATAAATTGTACTCAAATGTCCAAAACAAAAAAAAAGTACTAAGTGTGACATATCATTGTACTCAGGATACCGAGTTCTTTCATAACCTGAAATAAAAAATGCAGGTCCGTATTTAAAAAAATTAAGTTAGCCTCTATATCTCACAAATTATCAGCTAATTTGAAAATATAAAAATACTATCATATAGCCCTAATAAAGTGGCAATGAGAATGTGCAATTAGTTTTTTGATTTTCTAAAAAGCAACGACAGAAAAAAAATAATTTTGATTTTAAAAAAAATCCGTTTTTTTCCAAAAAAACTCAGCAATCCTTGAAATTTTTAAAACTTTTTTGATGACATCTTGGTAAACATCCCAAAGCGCAACTTTACCCTAATTTAACCATGTTCGTATCTATTACGGTTACCGAGATACCAATGCTCGTACCTCGAATTTGTAGCACCCTGTATAGTAGAACTGTTTACTTTAACTTTGTATACAGAAAGAGCATTAATCAATGAGAATATTAGGTATAGACCACAAAGGTATAGACGTTTATTTATTAGTGATTTATACATAATTTAGAAAATAAAAATGTAATCTTTTATGACAACTTCACCACATATTACTAATGGACTAGCCAACTGAAAAAGGAATTCATGGTGACGGAGTGAATTTATTTCCTAGTTCTTACATAAAAAAATGTTTAAACAAATTACCAGAAGTTTTAATTATAACATAAAATCTAGCCGTCACCTTGTCAGGTATTTTATTCATCCTGGAAATATTTAGACTGAGATAAAATCTAATAATAACAGTTTTGTTGAGGTAGGTATATAATATATAATATTGCACTGTTATGTTAATCTAGAAAGTTTATGTGTTTTTGTTTATTTGAAAAGTGAATCTGAAAAATTAAAGTCTTTGAACATTAAAGAATTTTAGTATTATTTGTTGAAATAATTAAGGTAATAATTATTATTTATTTGGAGAGTTATGCAATAGCTGTAATGAGCCACCTGATGCATTCCATTCGAAACAAAATGAAGGAATAGGTATTTCATCAAAACTACATTAATGGTCCGTTATAGTAAACTATTATAAAATTAATCATTTATCCAATTAACGATTACTTACCAGAAGTGCTATGTTTGGCAATATAAGTAAATCGTCTTCTTGTCTTCCTTCGGATAGTTCGGGTGCCCAAACTAAAGGATGGAATGGATTGGTAGTCAACGTCCCATTCTCATTAAATGTGACATTTTCATGTGTCATTAATTCTCTAAAAATAAATTAACATCTTCTGTATTATAGGTAAACAGTACATATAGCATACATTCAAAAAACAGCGTCAGGATAGACTGGGAAATAAATTATCTCACATCCAAGCAGCCCACTTGACGACGTTTTTAAGATCACACAAAGCACTAAATAGTGACTTTAAGAAGTTTTAGTAAAAAATTGAGATTTAGAGAGTAAAAAAATCATTAGTTTTAAATGCATTTTTATTTTGTTGCAACTAGTAAATCTTCTATAGAAAGGTGGTATACACTGACTGGGGAATGATTAAAGGAATTGTGTAAGGTTTCCATTGTCGTGTTATTCAGTAATTATTAGTGAAAATTACAGAACGGCATGGGTTTTGGTTAATAGTTGTGGCTATACCGTTATAAAGTATAATGTGATATAACATCGTACTGTAATTTTATCATTTTTGTGAAATATTGACAGTTGAAATCGTACAGACCACCTTTGATTATGCGAAATTCTTAACGGTGTTGAAATGTTTTACTTATTTTATTATTTCAAATAAAAATTAAATCTTAAATTATACCCCAAAGGACAATATTTAAATATATTTTAAATGTATTGTTTGATTAGTGAAATAAACATTTTTTTACCCTAGAAAAGTAAAAGTAAAGATTTCAGTTAACGTCTCCTTTTTGCTGCCAGGGCTAATCTGGACGGGGCCTACTTTCTTTACGCGGAATCCGAACCGCGGTTGTCGGCCAAATCATGGTCAATGGCCTACCGACTTGGCAAGTGTCTAAATCAACTCTTACTCACGAGATATCCGATCTCATCCGGCCTCGAACCGGCGTGAGTGAGCAGTGTGTGTCAATAGATTTTACACTTTTGCCTTTATTGAATAACAGCACGATACAGTTTCGAACCGGTCACCCGTCGATCCTCTAGTATCGCCTTACGTCGCTTAACTTCGGTGTTCTAATGGGAACCGGTGTTTCGACGTATGTAGCTGGGCCGTTGCCCTTTTTTACCCTAGAGATAAGAAATATTTTCTAAAATGTTTTAACAAAACACCAATAAATATATTTCTTAAATTATATTGTAAGTCTAAGTTGTGTTAAGTCTATAGGGACCTAATTTTTGCTTTATCTAAATTTTTCAAAATGTATTTTAAATTCATAAACCCTGGCTATATTTATTAAAAGAAGTATTGTTATCATATTTTGGTAAATTGCAAAATTTGCAACATTCCTTTGAATATACCGTATGATCGAAAAAAACGGCGTCCAGTTGGCTTGGAAATGACGATCGATGACATTTCCCATATAATTTTACATATAAAATGACAGCGATCTTCATTTCATATCCATCGCTGACGCCGTTTTTATTCGATCACACGGTATTTATGTGTACCCTTATTTTAAAATCTTATAACCAAACTTATTTCAAAATCTCAAAAATCAATTGAATACGTCAATCAATCCTAATTTATCTCATACACTAACGTACCAAATCTCGTTTTTTTATCTGAAAAAATAAAAAAGTTATAGGGGGTGAGCCACTTTTGAGAAGCACCCGGTATATTAATTCAAATAAAGGATAATAAATTACATATTAAACATTTATTTTATGTATTTTTGTGACATCATAATTATAACATTTATAAGACATTTAATATACTCAAAAACTAATTTTAAAATTAATTAATCTCACATATTCTACGGAGACATCAACAGTCAATGGGAATAGAAACCTCTATTTATTCTCATTTTTTATTGATATGTTTAATAAAATTATGTCGCGGTATTAAGTTACACCTTTACGAAATAAATCATTAACGTTACATAACATATCAAACTATAAAACTCATTATTCCAACAGTAACCTATCGAAAGTAAATATTTATCGTGCTTTTTTACCATGAAGAAAGTGTTCTGTGGATTATTCTCCAAAGCATGAAAATATGTTGGTGAATATAAGAAATTTAAATGTACATACAGGGTGTCTCAGAAATAAGTGCAAATATTTTAAGGGGTGGTAGATCTCGATAAAAGAAACATATTTTCTCTCTGTCGTTTTTCAAATAAGTCCAAAATAAGGGAGTTATTTTACTTTGAAAATTTCTAAAAAAAAAATGATTTTTTGCTAAAATTTTGAGAACCACTGGATCTTTTCTGGATTTTCTTTCTTGTAAATTTAATTTAATACCTATGTTGCCATATTATGAAGAAATTATGTTTTTTAACTAAAAACTAAAAAAAAAAAATAAAAAAATTTCGAATTTTCCAATTTTTTTTTTTGCAAAAAAAAACTCATAGGCGTGTTTCTGAGGTTGAACTATACTACCAGTTATAATATTTGCACTTATTTCTGGGACACCCTGTATATTGGTATACACAGAATATAATAGACCGAGAGCTGGCTACATAAAAAACCTTATCATCGTTACATGGCTAATTTTTTGTATGAAGTATCCTTTTGTGTAGCTATTGTGAAATAGTTATGTCTGCCAGCGCGATCCCGGGGCTTAAAGCGGGGGCGGCCAATCGAAAGGGTGAAATTTTGACACTAAAAATATTAAGATACATGAGTTATAATAATAAAGATACATGAGTTATAATTGCCAAATAGGTTTTATTTATTATTAGGAAACGTGTAAAATTGTTGACAGACATTTTTCTCGTGGCTGAAATGTCGACAGACAACGCGAAAGAGGCATAGAATTTTGACAAAAGAAAATCATCGCATACATGCATGTCGGTTGGTGGAATGTCATGTTTATTGTTAATTAATTTAAAAAGCCGTATGCAAAAGGCCAGGCAAAAAAATCGTTATTGAAATAATAAAAAATATATTTATAATATAATTGTATATTATATGATTTATCTATACTTAAATGGATGAGGCGGCCAGCGGTTCCCTGAATAAAGCGCTAGAGTAATATCGCGTTTTTGATAACTGTCTACAGCTGATTGAGCCACGATCTTTTTGTCTGCCCTTTTGCATACGGCTTTTAAAATAAATAAATATGACGTTTCACTAATCGGCATGCAAATATGCCATAATTTTTTTCATTCTTCAAATTTCATTTTTTAATAATTTTTAAAGTTTCATGCCTCTTTCGCGTTGTCTGTCGGCATTTTAGCGACTAGAAAAATGTCTGCCAACAATTTTCCACGTTTCTTAATAATAAATAAAAGCTATTTTCGCAATTATAACTCATGTATCTTATAATATTTTTAGTGTCAAAATTTCACCCTTTCGATTCGCCGCCCCCGTTTTAAGCCCCGGGATCGCGCTGGCAGACATGACTATTTTATAATGGCTACACAAAAGGATACTTCACACAAAAAATTAGCCATGTAACGATGGTAAGGTTTTTTTATGTAGCCAGCTCTTAGACTATAAGTCCAAAATTGGCGAGTTTATTAACATATTATGTTTTTTAATATTGCCATATTATTAACATATTATGTCTTTTAACTGAAAATTCAAAACATTTCGAGAAAAAAGAGATTCTCAATTTTTTTCACGAAAAAAGACCTCTCGACGTTTTTCTGGGGTTGAAATATACTACCCCTATAAATATTTGCACTTGTTTAAGACTCACCCTGTATAATTACTTTTAGAGACTAGTAAATTTTAAATAGCTCTATTAGAATCCTATTAAACAGTGTATTAATATAATAATTCTTTAATAAAACTAGTTTTCGTTTAAAAAAAATATGTAATTGAATAAACACTGATATTTTTTATATTTGAGATGGGTATGATTGGGTGATTGAAATGAAGTTACAGTGAGAATATAACAAAAAAGTAAAACAGAGTTTCTTGTAAAAAACGCTACATTGCAGTTTTTAAGAAAAAAATTGGAGAATTTTTTTCCCAAAGTAGACGTAGGTACAAAATATGCAATTTCAATATTTCGTGGACATAGAACAACTATGTATTTTTTAATCGTCAAGTGTTAAGTTAATTGACCACGATTTATCTCTATACAAAAGTGCTTCGTTTGTCCGTTAGAGGGTATCAATCCAAAATAAACCCGAACGTTAATTAATTTAAAATTTATGTAACTTATGGTCAAATATAATTTTTTGTGATACTACATAAAATTCCATATTTTCGCCAACTACATAATTAGCGCATATAATAGATTTTATGGGCCTATATAGCTTGATGTGTCAAGAAACATTTTTTCAAGTCAGATTCGGAATTTTTTTTTTCAAGTATGAGCGTTTAAAGTAAAAAAGGACCATTTTACGAAAAAAAATTGATCGTGGGTAGAGTTGGAAAATATTTATACTAAAATTTATGTATGGGTGGGTGTAGTTTTCAACCTTTCCGTTCTTTTTCTTGATTTTTGTGGAAGTTAAATGTTAAAGCACTTAGCAAAACATAAAATCCACTCCAAATCTCATTTAAATCGGAATAACGGTTCTTAAAATATCTTAAAAAATCTGTGTGTGTTTTGTTAGGTTAAGTTTTGATGCCCTCTAACGGACAATTGAAAGGACTTATGTATCGAAGTGAATTGTGTCCAATTAACTTATTTTGATTCCAAAAATACGTAGTAATCCTATCTCTACGGAATACTGGGACACCCTGTATAGACCAACTCAATTGTAACATATTATTTTATGCCTTCTGGGGCATGGATTAGAACGCAAATCAAAAGGTACATTTTTAAGCCGATTTTTTCTTACAACCACATTTTTTTTGTTATTATAATATATTAATGTTCACACATTTTGGTAGAATAACCCCCATGATTACCGCAATACCTTGCGTATTAGAACGTTCTAGAAGAAAGAGAAACACTTCCTTCGTCTAAATACCCCGGAGCCACACTACTTACGATGTTACAATAAGAAACCGCTCTGACAACAATTCAAGTAAATAAAGTTGAACTTGATCTTATTTTTTTTCGCGGCCGGTAGGTGAACAACCTGATATTTTTTGACGCCGGCCGATCAGAATTTTTTCTTGTTTCTGGTACAATTCGGTATGCGGTTGCGGAACTAATTAGGTATT